ATCGGGCGAAAGGCGTACAGGCGAAGCCTCGGCCAGGGGCTGGATGTGAGAGGGAGAACCAAAGTCTCAAGACGCAAATAGATCCGCTTCCATTGGTCCAAACCTCTCCCATATTGACTTCACCACACCTGGATGAAGTCTCCATTCCCCGGGCCTCAGCCCCTGCCTCGACAGGATGTCTGCTCCCTGATTCTGAACCCCCGGAATATACATTGCTTTGACAGACAGTTTTTTTTCTTGGGACCCAAGAATAATTTGATGCGCCAGTCTGTACAGAGGGCGCAATCTGAGTCCCCCTTGTTGGTTCAGATAGGCTACCACTGATGTATTGTCCGAACGTATCAAGACATGATAACCGTTGATGTCTGGAAGGAAGCTCCTCAGAGCCTTGAACATCTTTTCTAGACAATTTATGTGCCAAGAATTATGATGGTCCTGCCACAGACCCCTGGCAAAGCGGCCGTCCATGACCACGCCCCAACCAGTGAGGGAGGCGACTGTTGAAACGGTTTTCCGGTGACATGACGCTCCCAGCACTGGCCCTTGGGATAGGAACCAAGGTTTCTTCCAAATTACCAGAGAACGAAGGCATCTGTGCGTAACTCTCGACTGGCAATACAAATCCTTTCCTAGAGGGCCTCGACTGCCCTGCAACTGAGTGGACAGCCCCAACTTTTAGATCTATCTGATTTGTTTTCCGATAATGGAAATTGTAAGCATTTTGAACCTGGATCTCCTCAAAGAACAAGTCAAAAGCCTTAGATCTAAAATTGGCCTCAGTCCACCATCCTCCTTTGGAACTAAAAATTACCGGCTGTAAAACCTGGACTTCCTATCTGGTAGGGGAACACTCTGTCTGTACCTCTTGTTCCATAACCCGAGCCTGTTCTGGAACCACTGCAGTCAGTGCGACCCCAACAAACTTGGGAGGTAACCGAACTGCAATCTGTACCCATATTTAAAAATATTCAGGACCCATGTATATATATTGGAAGGCATTGCCATTCTAAAAAATCTACTAAGGGAACCAGCCCCTCGAGACCGGTCTCGGGTGTTTCTCGAGCACTATTCTCGACTTCCTAAAGCAGATGACCGGCAGGAAAAAGTCGAGAAAAATTTTGTGACCATAGTCGGTGCCCGGTTGCAAGCCCTTGGGGTGAACGCCACGGTGTGCGTTCGCTGGAAATCGATGTAGCCCCAAACGTTCAAAACGGTGGGACAACATATACATATATATATATATAGTTATATGTGTCATAGCATCAGAGAACAGGCCAGTTTTCTTTATTGCAAAGTAGACTTGTAATCTTCACGCTGCCTCGACAAACGCAAGATCCGAGTCACTATAGTTTCTGTATTGCAACGCAGACCTTAAATCTACGCGCTGCCTTGGCAAACGCGAGATCTCAGTCACAGAATCTTTATTGCAGAGTAGACTCGTAATACACTCTGCCTCGGCAAATGCGAGATCCGAACCACTATAGATTCTGTATTGCAATGCAGACCTTAAATCTACGCGCTGCCTCGGCAAACGCGAGATCCCAGTCACAGAATCTTTATTGCAGAGTAGACTCGTAACCTACACGCTGCCTCGGCAAACGCGAGATCCGAGCCACTATAGATTCTGTATTCCAATGCAAACCTTAAATCTACGCGCTGCCTCGGCAAACGCGAGATCTCAGTCACAGAATCTTTATTGCAGAGTAGACTCGTAATACACTCTGCCTCGGCAAATGCGAGATCCGAACCACTATAGATTCTGTATTCCAATGCAAACCTTAAATCTACGCGCTGCCTCGGCAAACGCGAGATCTCAGTCACAGAATCTTTATTGCAAAAATTTAGGACACTGGGTTTGGAGACACGGGACGAATGCGGTTCATCCCACGATCTCGTGATCTTTTTGTGGAGATCGGGGAAAAACGGCAAACCCCGGCGCTGAGGCTGTGACCCGTGCCGCATGAAACGCTCATCTAATTTACTTTGAACTTGCGTTCCCTGCTCATCTTGTGGCCAGCTGATGTTAAGTCTGGCCACGGCACGAGTCACAACCACCTCACCAGTTCCTCATATGCTTGGCCGTGAACTGGCGCGCCTAACTCACGGTCATCCGCATCGATACTGAGCATGTCTACTTCCTCAGAAGCAGAGAGCTCGAGTATCGGAACCTGATCGTGGTCAGAAGAAGCCGCGCCACGGCTTGTGCATGTGCAAGCACGGAAGAGCTGCTCGAACCCAAACAATTTACACATAAAGCATGTGTGTCCCCACCAGTGATATAATGAGGGCAGGGATGCACACATCTTCTAAATTGTTCGCTGGCCATTTCTAGTTCAAACTGAGTGACAAACAACACCAAATAAGACCGACAGTTTTTCAACATAGAGCACTTGCTGAAGAGCGAAAGCTAGTGTGTGTTGTGACAGCGTCACTTTTATACTTCCGGTATGCCGTCACATGTTACGTCACAACGCAACACCAATCGGGATTGGATTAGTTTCATTCATACTTCAGAGGCGCACACTTAGGGAGCGTCCCCAAAGTGTCGATTCTCGACACAGTGTAGAGTTCCCTCGAAAGGGAACTTCTAAATTCACTTAACTGTGCATGCATTAACTGTGCATGCGTGAAACCTCACAAAAGCTCACAAGATGATACAGATGGAAAAGTAAATTAATAAAGTTATCGCACAATTCTTCTAACAGGATAATTTTATTTAACCCGAAAACGGCGTTTTCAAATTTATCCACTTTGGAGAGTGTTTTCCAAAAGTTTTCATTGACTTAAACATTGACTTGACACCTCCCACCCCTCAGCTTTCCTCAGTTTTCATTGACTTGACACCTCTCTCAGATTTCATTGACTTAAAACGCCGTCTCAGTGTGGACGGAAGGATTAGTTTAAAAAAAAAAACTAATAAAAAAATTTGTTTTTACAAATAAATTATTATCTAAGTGTATATTTTTGTATACACTTTGAGACATTAATATAATTTTGTGGAGACAGCAGTAATGGAAATTCTTTGGGAGAACCTTACTTTTGAAAAGTTGCCTGAAACACAGACATAACTGATGGAGAACACTATCCAATCAGAAGCGAGGGGTTGATAAAGTCCCACCCACCAATGAAAGGAAATATTGAGTAAAGGCGGGCATACACTGTGCGATGTCTGTGCGATTTCAGCAAGGTACCTACTCACACTGAACGAGTAAATCGCATGCGATGCAAAGCCAAAGTTCAGGATTTATGTGCTCACACTGTACGGTCCGATCGTCGAGCTGCGACTTCACTGCTCACACTATACGTGTAATATCTGCGATAACCCCCTGGATTGCGCCTATTTACGTGTATGTATCCAGAGATATTGTCAAAACAAGCATCTGCTGTCAGTATCAAGATGATTTAGTATTTTCAATTTATGCATTTAATTATTATTATTATTATATTATCATTATTAGTGGAGGCCTATAGGCTAATTTTACTATTAAATTGATCCGCTATTATAATTAATTTGCCACGCAATATTTTCACAGCAATAAAATATTAATCTTACTCCTCATTAAAAATTGTCTAAAACATTTAGGTCGATTACAATGAATTATATATAAAATAACTATTAACAGTCTATAATATGTCCGAACATTGCCATTATTAATCATCAATGAAAATTAAAAACAGGTTTATTTCAAAAACATTGTTTGACAAAATAATAAAAGAGGTGTTACATATCAGGTGGCTTGAAGACGGTGGGTAATATTATCCATTTTGCAACACGAACTAGAGGTAAGCAACAGTAATTTGTAGCTCGTTTTTATTTGAATTTTATTTTTGCTGCAGATGAAATGGTTAAACTTCTGTTTTCGCGCAGGTGCAGTGAGGGAAAAAACACTGAGTTTAGGGCAATCGGTTCGTAGCATTGCTTCAACTGTGCGATATAGTCACGAGGAGCGACCAAAATTTCTGACATGCCAGAAATTCATCCGACCATCCGATTGTCGATCGTGAGAGGTTAATCGCCTCTCGTTTCTCCCTGTACACTGCACGAACACTGCACGACAAACGACACACGACAAAGCTGAAAATCGGTCCGACACGAAAATGAGTCGCACGGCTCAAAATCGGACGAAAATCGCACAGTGTATGCCCGCCTTAAGAAATTTGTTTTGTCAGTAATAACGGAAAACAAGACATTGCACTGAATTTAATTTTTTTGTTGTTGTTGTTTTGATTGAAAAAAAAAAAAACGAAAAATCAAAGTGAATGTTGGTTTTTTGTTTCATGTCAAAATTTAAAAAACGGAAAAACGGCCTGTTTCTGTTTTTTTTTCTTTTGTTAATTATATCAAAAAATCAAACGGTTAAAACGTACCTTGGTCGACCGTTGGCCTATTCTGTTTTTTTCCTTTGTTAATTTTACCAAAAAACACTATTGCAAACTGTTGTTGACTGTCACTATTGCAAAGTTTTGATGTCTATGTGTGACAGTTAAAATTTTCCCGTAGAAATAATTTTTAGAGATAATATTTGCTTATCTTACTACAACACTATGCCGCAGTGCAAACAAATGTGTTTAAACTCTGTTGAAGTGACTTGACTAATAATACTTCAACATAAATCACTGTCGAAGTGCCCTATTGAAGGACACAATGATCATAATACTTAAAATATTTCAAACTAACTTTAACTTGAGTTAAACTTCTAACTCCAAACAAGTTCCGAACTTGCTTTTAGTAAGTGTCATCTCATCAATAACGGCCAATCATCACTTGTAAAGTAAACCTAATTGATTTGTTAACTGTCTGGATAATTCAACATTTCACACTACAAAGAGAAGATCCTACACTGTACATTTAACACCTTTGCTGTGCTTAAATCCTGAAAACCTAAGATTAATTCTCACAAGGTAAAGATTTGAACAGTGTGAAACATGGTGTGAAAAATCTCTACAGACTACTTGTTTGGCTTTCACTTTAACCACCTATGTTTTTGTATCACTATTAGAGATTCTTTGCCCTGCTCAGCTTCAGCTTGACAACGGGCAGTTCTGGCCAAGGAAACAGTGGTTCAAGTTTGGAGAAAAACAGACCTTTTCATGCCATGAAGGATTTGATTTGACTGGATCTGTTGAGCGGAACTGCACTCAGTGGGGTGGATGGACTGGTGCAACACCAGTGTGTGATGACCAGAGTAAGCATTTATACTCTTTTGTTTCCAAACAGAACATACAAATGAAGTTGTGATTTGTTTTCTCTTACTATCTTTTATAATATGCTACTCCCTCATTACTCTTAATTGAAACATTATATTTACACGGTTCATAATTTTGCAAGATGGTCTACTAGAATAGTTTTACTTGAGTTAATGTTAAAAAAAAATGTCTTAATTTCTTAAACTCCTCCTGGTCTTACCTTTGTTTGACGACGAGCCAAAGAGGCAGCACGTGTAAATTATGCAAACGTGCTACATGGTGATGTATCCACATCATGTTAATAATGGCTGTAGCCTACTACAAACTAGGCAGATGTTTTCTGTTGGATAATCAGGGGCCATTTAAACAACACTGTTTAAAATAAAAACTGAAAACTTTTTATGCATTTTGGTTGTTCATTTATACAACAATGGCTTTTTGCTGGCCTGAAAACCTACCGCGGGACATAACGCAACAGAGTAAGGCGTGGTACTAGATTTAAGGGGCAGACTGATCTCATGAAGTAGCGTGTGTATGACACGCCAATTCGTATTTCCATTTTTGGCGTGCTATCAAGACGCATAATCGCCTTTCAGCGTGTTTATGAACGCCGTTGACTTAACGTTATATAAATATATGACTTACCTCAACCCCGTCCCTAAACCTAACCGTCACTGGGGTTAATGGCATTTATGACCATTGAGCGTTCCCTTACCATCCTAGGTAAAAAAAAGATATGACTTACCTCAACCCATGGCGTAGACATATACGCATACACGCGGATAGCACAAAATGCGTGGAGATAACACGCCACCTACACGCCACCTGACTCGAAAGTGGCGTATATGTTTACGCAAAAGTCATGATGTCATGTTGTAAGGGGGAGGTAAGGTATGTGTGTCTTGTCTGGGAATGCAGCACATCGAGGAAGCCCTTGAGGGGGCTGCTTGCAGCCAATGTGAATCACTCTCCCTCAGAGTGCTGCAGGTCCTGCCAAGGTGCTGTGGCGGCTTAGATCATGGGGATCACAAAGAGAGCTTGCAGAAGGGATCGAGACTGCTGAGCAGGGCTTAAAGTACTCCGGCACAGTGCCGGATCTCCGGTGTACAGGCGTGACGCGTGAGGGGAAAAAAAATTGTGAACTTGTATGCGGTTTAATATTTTCAAGTCAATTTATTTCACCTACCAATCATATGAGAGCAACGCAGCTCTAACACTTTACAAGCCTTTCAGAAGCAGAGCAGGGCGGGTCCTAGCAACAACGTGTGATTGAGATCCATACTTCACGAAAGTGTCATCGGTGAAAGCCAGCGCAAGTTCATAAAGCTCGGGATGATGTCTTACCTATGGGTGTAATTTCCTATGTGGACATGTCCCCCCACTTTCAAATTCGTTGTTGTTATTTTTAACAGCACTCAGTCATCACCACGGAGGAGCAGGACCGAGCCTGTGTAAAATAGCTCACTGAAAGCAGGTAATGAGCAGGTATAGAGGTTGCGACCATCGACTATAAAAATAGATTGTGACACAGTCATGATGAAATGCCAGAAACAACAACAGGTGACTAATGTCATCATGGATGAAAAGAAAGAAAGGAGATGTGAGTTGGTTGGTTCAGGAAATTAGCTAAATATTAAATGTAGAGCATTCTGTGTAGCTTGCTAAAAAAAAACAAAAAAACAATCTGTGTAGCCTACCATGAAAATGAGCCCACTTCAAACCTTATTTTCTTTCAGCAATATATGACAAGTGCTGTCAAGTGTCAACATCAACTAGTGCTGTAGCGGCGCGTCTATGACTCGACGTCAAAATTCTTTATTTATTTATTTTTTGCATGTTCCCGGCGGTACAGCTTGCCGCACACACGTGGGAGACCGAAACATTGCAGAATATGGACGAAGACAACTAGAAGTGAATGTGCTATCCATTAAATGAATCACACACAGTAAACAACCCCTTAAGAAAAAAAAATTGCAATTTAGACGCGCAAACTGGGTGCCGGTGTGGTGAGACGTACAAGCTCGGGCAGATTCGGCTTGAAGTCGTTCCCGGACGCGGCGCCGGGCGCGTTGTTACAAAAAAAGGCATACACACAGCCCGCCACAGTCTTCCTGGTCTTGCGCACCCAACAGTCATTTTTGCCGTGCGCACATTCGCACTCGTGCGGACGTGTCGAGTATAAACCAGGCTTTAACTCTGTGTCAGCACGCGCTCTGATCAGTAGGTGAACTCCGCCTCCGACTCCGTTTCCCTCCTCAGCTGATATTAATATTTAAACATTCTCTATGATAAAAAATGTTTGTAAAAAATATTTAAATAACACAGTTTTGGCGGTTGTAGAGTTATGATGGTGTTCAAATACATAATATTAGACTAACGTTAGCCAGCTTATAGTATCTTGATTCAGTATGCTAGTATTTATTTGAGATATTGTTTTTTTATTAATTGAGCAGCAGAAAAAATATTCTTTATATTAATCGTCCAATTAGTCATTAGATTAGTCGACTAATCGATAAAATAATCGCCCAACTAATCGTTTAGTTAATAATCGTTTACCCCAGCCCTAACATCAACGCATGCGATTCTTTTTTTGTCCAGCTTTAACGTTTTAAAATATGGCAATTAACGCGGTGTCCATCCATTCTTTCTGTCTGTCATCCTTTAGCTAGGATTATGATCATGCTCTTATTCACGCAAATGCTTTAAACCATGTCTGCGTGACAAAGGAGAACGCGCTTTCAGTGAATGTCCTCCTGACACACACACACGACGCTCAGAAAGACGCGTGCCAGTAGGTCTATATCGAGTTCTCTTTCGCGCTTGAACTAACAATAACACACACATGTATGCCAGAATATCTATTTTGTATTCTGTATTTTGTTTTTTGTATTTTGTATCTATTCCTCTCAAGAACAGTCTTAAATGAGTTAAATAAAATCTTAAATGGAAGTAAATAGAAAGTAAAAAGTTTAATAGTAAATAGAGAGAGAATGAGAAGCGTGAGATCCTGTCAGCAGCGGCAGATCTTAAAGTGACAGGAGCCATTAATTCTGTCTGTCAGTAAAGTTAACCTGAAGAACAGAGGGAACAGAAAATTACAAACTGCTCTTGACTAAAGAATGCTTGTGGCTTTGATAAGGATTAATCTATATTTCATTTATAATGTATGCAGGGCAGACTGTTTTATAACCTTACTCAATTTCTTTATGGTACAGTTAAATATGATATTTATTATGGGTTAAATGAGGATTGTCTTAAAGGTGCATTGCGCAACATTTCATGTTAAAAATAGCCGTTTTCTAACCCATACATGCTTAAACAATTGCCTGATGGGCTGAATGAGCCCTTCTCTGATCACTGAGATCGCCTCTATAATCCTGTACAGTAAAATAAATAAGAGGGATTCGGGCTTGAATCTGAGACTGGCAGTGACGTCATGCACATTCACGCTCGCCTGGCTATGTGCCTATGTCTTGCAGGTAGTGTATTCGCCGCCATTCTCCGTATCAGAGAAGACAACTCGAGCGACACAACTTTAGTCAACTTTCCACAAAAGTAGAAGATGGATTCAAAGGGGCTGTTTTGCCTACACCTGGTCACTTCATGCGTTTTCTGTGATCGGATAGCTATTCGATCGTGAAAAGACCAGGTTACCCTCCGAAATGCATTCGAGACGGATTTGAATCGATCGCTCAAATCACTTGAGGTCGTGGTCTGGGCCGTATTCCAGACAAAACTGGACAAGTGTAAATGCATCTAGTTGTTGAAAGCAGGCTATAGGTTATGTCATGTTATTTTAGTCATATATGACGACGCGCATCACCTCAGATGAGCAGCTGAACGTCTATTCATAAAGCCAGCGCACCGCAATCTATCGCAAATCAAAGTGAAAGTAAGTCGCAGATGCGCAACACTACCATCTTCATTAAAAGTAAAGAAATGAAATGATCTTACCAGGCAACCAGGGCTGTTGCCGCTCTCTCTTATTGCTGTCTTTGCTGATTTTGAAATTAGCCGATGATTAAAGGGTACCTATTATGGATTTTTGAAAATTGCCCTTCATGTAGTGTTTAACATAGATCTAAGTGAACGAAAACATCCTGCAAAGTTTTAAACATGAAAGTTCATCGTATACAAAGTTATTGTCTCTCAAAAGTAAGAGTCGACTCTGAGTCGCTGATATGAATCGTTCGAAGAACGATGCTTTTCCTTTGTCTAGTTGACGTCAACTTGACAAGTTATTTGAATAAGAAACGCCCACTTATTGCGCTCTGAGACGCCAGGGAAAACCGGAAAACAATCATGTCGACGAGACGCTGTGTTTTGAAGTGCGACGCAAAAGCGAACTTTTTTCACCTGCCAAGTGAGGAGCATTTGAAGACTAAGTGGCTGCCTGCAGTTCATATACAAGTATACCACACAAGTATAGCCCAAACCTTGTTCTGTGTTCGCGTCATTTTGAAGATGATTGCTTCACAAACCTAAACGCTATAAAGTATGGATTCGCGAGCCGGCTCTAACGAGCTGAGGATCTGAATCAGGTGTGTTAAATAAGGGAGACATACACAATATGCAGAGCAATGGGTCGCGAGGACTGGAGTTGAGAACCCATTTAAGGTGATAGGCGTTCTGTTTTCGACTATCTCTGCACAGAGAATACCAATCACAACTGACTATGTCATCTGACCAATCACCGCAGATTAGCGTCACGCAAAGGCAGGTTTTAGAAAAAGAACTCGCTAAACGATTCATATGGGAGTCGGTGAGCAAATCAGGTAAAAATAAATACATATTATAAGACAACAAAAGTGTTTTTTGTCATTGCATGCTTGTAAAACTGTTGTTGGGGACTCCCAGAACAATATTAGGAACATTTTAAATGCCATAATAGGTACCCTTTAATAAAATGCAGCTCATGTTGCTTTCAGTGACGTGCACTTCATGAATTCTGTAGCCTAGCGCGGGAATTGAAGATCAGATTATATCCGTTTTGCAAGAA